TTGCACTGATCGAGTTATGAGAGTTTTTTGTGGATTTAATTGAACTCAGTGCTTCAGATGATATTGCTCCCCTGTATGATGAGCTGAGGGAAATGTAACATCAGTGAAGTAAACATGAGACCAGCAGTGCAGCGCGCTAAACTGTGCTCAAGTGTGTGCGATGACTCCCAGGAACACTGCGCTGTGAAATTCTTTACACTTGTGGTCTGCTCATTCACGGTGTGTTCTTCACGACATTTCAAAGCACAGGTGCAACCGCTCATTGTAATGTGTGACCTTCACAAATGTATACAGCATCAACGCAACAATACTCTACAAAGTCTCAGCTTCTCCCCTCCCCCGCCCATGCTTTCCCAAAGCCTCAGTCGTACTGTGCATCGTATACTGATCCAGTCTGGTTGCTTACATAAGGCTCAGCAGCAGCAGCAACACTTGCTCCAGAACTGCTGTCGTCATTTACCGATACAAAGCAATACAGCACGCTGAAGATGATCGTGATTCCCCACCCTGCTACTCTCACACTCACTCATCAGGCTGAGGATCTTCTTACAGCACCAGTAATTGCGCCTTTATATTGATTTAATAGCTTATTGCATTGGCTGTAGGAGTAATAACTGAACACTCATAGTACCTGTTATTTGGTATCTGGCATTCATTCAGAGAGACTAGAGGACTTTTGAGCATGAACCACTTCATCATTTCAAGAAGGAGCCGGACTGTATGGAGGCCACTCCAAAGAGCCTTTTGTAGAAATAAAATGATGAATAATAAAAAAGATTTACCTATGTACACACATCTTTGTTGACCTGACCTGTGAATTTACTACACACACACACACACACACACACACACACACGCTCACTTCAGTTCTGGGGCCAACAGAGATGACTTCATTACCGGCTGCTTTCAACATACAAGTGGCTGAAAGGGTAATTAATCCACAGCACATGGGAAACCAACGTGAACATCAAGAACATCAATAATGACTCACTTTATTTGACCGTGTGGTAGCCTACATCACAGTACAGTAGATTGAACAGATCAGCTACCTGTTGCCTTTACATTTCACTTTTTTCCCCCTTGGATCCACACTCCTCTCATGTCCTCTCTGGAATCTGATAGACAGAAATCTGTCGTAGCGACTGAGAGCTTTTCCCCATAAACCTCAGATGTACATTGTGGCACTTGCACATTTTTTATTTTATGTTTTATGCATTCTTCATTTTGCACTGGGGGCTGCTTTAGGTGAAGGGATAGATTTGTGTCGTTTTGTGTAATATTTTGCAGAGGATAGTCGTTTGTTTCACATCTGAACCGCCTCCATATGATCGACCTGCTGTTCTCTTTGTCTGGAGCTAAAGTTAACTCAGTCTAGATGGTTAATTAGTTCGGGGAGTCTGTGTGTTTGGGAGAACGCCTCCGTCTTTTAATGCAGAAATAAATTACTCAAATGCACAACGAAAAACTCGGATATGATGATATGATCATCTGCCATTTCCTCATTAATTGACACTTGAATATAACAGATATTAGAAAGATCACCCAGCCTTACAGGCAACTCATGCACTCACACCCAAAACATGACATCATTTAACACTGGATGTGCTGTGTAGGGCTCCTTAACGATAGCATTAGGTTTAGACACACGCAGATAAAATAATAACATATTTCTATCCTTACATGCTTGCAAATAACTTATTGCAAGGTGGGTCTCCGACATTGACAGTGTTGTGTTAAGAACATAGACTAACTTATCAGATTTAACTTTAACAAGTTTGCACATAATGCGATTAATCGCATTGTTAACGTGTGATAAAATAATTGTCGCCATTAATTAAATGAATGCGATAATAATGTGTTAACTTGCCCAGCCCTAGATTTTACCCATTTTAAATAGAAAAAATCAATATGTCACAGCCTTATGCCACAAATATGTGTGGGAAACAGTGCTGTAGAACAGGGTTTCAAAAACAGGATGTGTTGTGACACAAACTGCATCAATCATGTTCAAATGAAGTGGCTTTGGGTTAAGGTTCCCATTGAATTTGGAAACTTAGTTATTACACCATCTGCCAATATTAAGACTGAAGTCTTTGGGGATCTGAATTTCAGTTATATTAATCCTACATATCCCATATATGATACTAAATTTCCATGATGAACAGGCGAACAGCACCCGTCATGATGACTCAAGTCTTGTTTCTATTCTGGAAGGATCTCAGGGTTCCGCTGATCATGGAGCTGCTAATTTGACTACTTTTAGCTGGGCTTTGTCTGCTGGAACACCCATCATTACCATCTGCTCTATATTTAACCCGCAGCTACTTTATTAATCTGCTCCTCAAGGAAGACACTGTAGTTTTTGTTCATATGACAGGAGTGAGCTTGACTGTCACTCAATACATAACTGCCATCCGAAAGCTTAAAATCCTCTTTATTGGTGTTTCCTTCCATTCACAGAACCTGCTTCTTTCAGGGTAAGCTTCACGAATGCAGAAGACCGAAAAAGCTAGGAGAAAGAAGAATTATGCAAATTACCCCACGACATGAAAGTGGGTTCATCGGAAAGTTCATTGCAACACATAATTACAGTAACAATGATTTTTCAGTTGTAGAACATGAAAAAGTGACTAGCCTGCAGTCAGAAGTTTTCTTTCTAACTGGCCTAACTGCCCTAAATCTTATAAATAGTATTAGTGCCAAATCTGCCAAGGAATGCTGTCAAAGTACTGTTTCTCTGTTTGACACACATTTCAAAACCATGCACTGCTGTTAAAACACAAGGGTTAATTGTGGATGTCCTTATATGGTATAGCTTAATATGGGTTTATTAGTCATCTAAACAACTAAATACAAATGACAAATTCAAATCACTCACTCACACTGATTATAGTCATTTATTGAGATCAATGACAACCTGAGTCATCTTCTCTTTTAAATATTACATTGCTTGTTTATAAAAAGTTGGATATGACCACTACTATAGTTATCTGACGTCTGAAATAGTGCTGTGCCTCACAGTAATATATTTTATCTATATGCAAGAGTGCACTAACTCTACTGTAGTAATTTCTTTGTGTGTACCTTTTGAGTATTAAATAAACGGTAATTTTACTTTTACTGGACCATCTGTTACCTTAAGCATTGTATTTCACTACATGTTACGTCACATCTGTTACAGAGTAGGAACAATAGCCACATGAAAAAGTCATGATAAACTGTGAGAATGGAACAAAAGAAAGGAGCCGTGTCAGAAGTTGCTGCAGAGAAGAAGCTGCTGCTGTGGCTGCAGGAGGGCAGCTAATAATAATGCTTGTTGCACCCTCCTTGGTGTCCTTTTTTTACTACACTGATGAAGACAGCTGTATATTTATGATTGACAATCAGGTTTATGCATCAATAGAAGAGGATTGCAGGATGCAGTTCACATCAGGGAACCGTGTGATGTTCTGCTAGTATACGTTGACATGTAAATGCACTTTATTTTGGGCTTTAATTTAATAGTTCGATTGTATAAGATTTTCATCATATAATATTCCCCACCATAAAAGAATAACATAAAGCAAAGTTTACTCAGAGCACACTAACATAAGTAATTTCATTTTTTAACTTTTTTTCATTCAACCAACACGGTGGCTCCTTTAGCGTTTTCTTTTGCTTTGAAAATGTTAACTTAGCACATTTGTAAAAGAGGGCTCCTGGTTCTCAATGTTGTATTTCTGAGTGTAAAAAAAGGTGCCCATTAGCACTGGCAGTCATAATCAATTAATTCAAATAGTCACTCTGGCCTGGACAGAGGGCGCATAGTCATTTAGATCTCAGAAAACATGCGGTCCACCCTGGAAATTCAGTACATCACTCATACATACATAAGACAAAGACGTACTAATATGAAATCATCATCAATCATTCAAATAAACTTGAACTTCCACAATAATCGTTGTAGAACTACTGAAAAATCAAATCGAAATCAAACTGAAATGCAACTGACGAGGTTAAATTCTTACTGCTGCTGCCCGGGTTCGAGTCCAGCCTCTGGCCCTTTGCTGCGTGTTGCCGCCCTATCTCTCTCCCCGTTTCCTGTTGCTGTCCATTGTCCTGTCTCTTAAATGAAGACAAAAATGGTCCAAAAAAACTTCCCTTCACATGCAGCATTCTTTTTCTGATATTGTACAGCTCAGCACAGCAGAGAGACAGATTGTGAGGATGATGTCACCTAAGACAAATCCTGGAGATTTTAGACTCCAGCTAACAGCTGCCGGGACATAGTCATGGATTTACATTTATGTTCAGATACAACAGATTTGGAAGGACTTTATCAAACAAAACCTATGTGAGCCCACAGAATCACTAACTCTCTAATGAGAGGTGGATCCTGTCGTCCACATGGGAAGTGTCCTTGTAGAAGACACTGATCAAATGTTGCCTGATCAAACAAATTGAATACCTGACAATTTAAGGTACATCATCATATTGATGTCAAAAATCCTAAAACTCAACCCCCCACCCCCCCCCCCCCCCCCCCCCCCCCACCCCACCCCACACACCCCACCCCACACACACACACACACACACACACACACACACACACACACACAAACACATACATACATACACATATACACACACGATGTCATTGTGCCTGATACTGGCTTCAGATAAAGTGAGGGATGTATTTTTGCACAGAATGAGGACTGTGGGAAACAGTTTAGATAATGGGTGAAACTGGACTGTAACTGTAACTGAAGGGTTACAAAGTGGCATGACATATGTGTACTGTGCACTCGATTGCAAAGCTCTCTAGCAGATTGAATTTTCTTCAATGAAATTGCAAGGTTGTAAGAAAGTGCCTTCAGTTGTGTTCAGCAACACCATGCAGACACTCCATTCACCCAGTGTTAACAAAGCAACAAGACACATCTCATCAGCTTCATATTTTATGTTGTCCTTCATCCCTTGTTTCTGAAGTATCCATAATGCTCTGTGCTTTGTCTGTGCAGCTACTCAGTGAAAAGATCAGCGGGGCAGAGGGAACAAAGCTGGATGAAGACTTCATGGAGATGGAGAGGGTGAGTCCAGTACAGGTGTTAGTAGACATGGTCTTATGATGAGTAGTGTTACACTTGCTAGGTTGATCTCATATAACATTGGCATGAGATAATAGGTTCTATGGGCCGGTATGAGGTTTTGACGAAATGATATAATATATATATATAATATATAATAATGAAAATATCAGGATATCGCTGTATTGCGATTACACTTCTAAAATTCAATATTTTTTTATGTCTTGGGAAAAAACAACATTTTTTTCCATTGACCACAATAGTGTTTTGAAATTAGTGTTTGGCTTGTTGCAAATGGTTAATTCTATTGTTAAAGGAATAGTTCAACATTTTGGGAAACATGATTATTTGAAATGAGAAGATTATCTAACCAATCTAATCTTTGTGTGTTTAGTGGGGCTAGCCCCTATACTGATAATTCAAATCATCAGTTGAGAAGCCCCCGAGTTGAAGCTTTACTTTATTTTTAGCTGTCATTGTGCACAGTGTAACTCAGGATAACAAAATAGCAGACTATAAATGTTTACAAACTAAATCTTGTGTTAAAATCAGCCCCATTACAAAACTATTGGAAATGGAGGACAGTATATATGTTTGTTGCTTCTCAGCTCCGGTGCCAATTGCTTGCAATGTCTGATAAACCACCTGCTGTAACAGTGCAATGTGATCTGCAATTCGGGGGCCACCCAGGAGAGACGCTTCATGGGGCACTAGGATTTCATTACTGAGTGATGACCAGGATGCACACATTTTATTTGTGGGAATATAAACTGTGTTTTCACATCACAGATTATGATGAAAGGGTGTACTGGTCAAATCTGAGACTTTACATTCTACAGGAGAAACAGCCTCCCCAAAAGGTGAATATTTGGCCTTCTGTACAGAGCTGGTGTCTGGATGTGGTTAGCCTAGCTTAGCATAAAGAGTGGAAGCAGGGACAAACCGCTATCGTTTCTCTGTCCAAATTGAAAAATGTCTACCTACCAACAACTTTAAGGCTGATTCACATGTATCATTTTTTTAAATCTCTACATAAACATAAATGTAAAAACGACATTCGTCAGTCCAGCTCTTCTGAGCAGCTGTAATGTGGGCTGCTAGATTCTGTCAGTCTGCATTTAATTTTGGACTTGGTACAAGCACAGTGGTACCAAACCTGGCAACCTCAGTATAATGACTCTGCTGTTTTGTCAATAAATTGTTCCAATACACATCTCCCCCAGTTTTTATTGGTTTGTGTATTAGGCCTGCGCGATATGACAATTCATATCCCAGTATAGGTCATTTCAAATCCCAATAACGATACATATCCTGATATAGAACATTTTTGGTAAATTCAATTAAATATGGCATTTCCTACTGTAACTCCAGATATTTCTCTGCATTATAAAGGTGGGGTAACTTAAGCTAAGAAATCCAACACCCTGACAAATACCATGATAGAATGAACAACGACACAGCAAGTAATGTAACTAACATTAGCTATCTTAGGTTGTGCTAACTTCCCTCACCAAAATATTACGGTAAAGTGTGGAATTTGCAACACAGCGATATAAATGATAGAGCATAATTGTAAACGATTTCGTCATATCGCACAGTTGTAGGTTCAATACCTAGATTGTGTAGGTAGCCAGGTTAGCTGTCATTATGCTAAGCTAGGATAACCACGTCCTGACTCCAGCTCTGTACTTATATATTTTCTCTTCTGATCTCACTAGTGCATACGCATGTTTCCCAAACGGTTGAACTATGTCTTTAATAGAGTTGGTGAATCCTGTTTTTCATGAATACAGAGTTTATGAACTGACATGTGTGCCTGAACACGCCTGCAGACATAGCAGGTTTGGGATCAGGTTGAATTTCTCTGTAAAGAGTTTAGTCAGAGTTGTGTCACGGGCAAGACACTTAACCCCTAGTTGCTCCTGAGGGTGCAAACTGACATAGATAGCAATTGTAGGTCGCTTTGGATAAAAACTTGACTATGTAAACATAGTAGGAGATGAGATGGACTGAACTGAAACACTCACCATTTGGTTCTAATCAAGATATGGTTTAACTCTGGTGTGGCAGCACTTTGACTGTCCAGTAAAGCAATCCAGAACAAGACGAGCCTTACTTTACAGATAATAGAAGCACAGTGCACAATGAGAAAAAGAAATATATTGAGGTACAGATGTTTCAGTTTGTGTTACAACTAATATTAATTTTTTACCTTTCTTGAAATAGTCTTGAGAGTATGTAAGCTGTAATGTGCCATCACAATAATACACTTTATTTTAGTTGTAAATTACAAACAATTAAGTATTAATGCATTTAAAAACAATTAGTAAGTGATTAAAATTGAAAAAGTAATAAAAATAAATAAATAATGATTATAATGTGCATCAAATAAGAAATTCTATTTAATTATTTTGGCTTTAAAATATGATCAAAATAAAAGTTATAGAATAGTAGAATTGCTGAAAATAGTAGTCATTTTCTGCAATAATTGATATATTGATGATGTGGTAAATATTGTAATGTTATACATATACATAACAGTTTAGTCACACTTCTTTCAGTCTTAACTATCTTCACATTTTGTTCAACATATTGTAAAATTTAACCAGCTTGGATCATTAACTGACTGTAAGTTTCAAATATCTAGGGCTGTCCCCGACTAAGGATTTACATAGTCGAATCAGAATCGTGAAGTCCTGCCTGTAGTCGACTGATAGTCAAATCATGTGTGTTTTTGTGCACGCGATTCCGGGCGGGGCGGGATAACACACGGTGGCTCTGCTTTAATCTCGAGAAGCTGCAGACCTGCGGTCTCTGAACTGAGGCTTTTTGAAGACCCTTTTCTCTCTCTCACCTGCCATTCACCAGTCTTGTGTGAGATTTGCGAGCATGCCTTGCTGCCGACAACTGCATGCAGGCTCACGGGTCTATTTCAAGTGGCTGGCTATTTAAAAACGATAAAATATTCTTTGTGTGGTTCATCAGCGGCGATAAATTATCCGAAAGTCCCGCGAGGTGCGGACAACTCGGCACAACGGGGCATTTTTCAATCTGTGTTCTTGTCTGTACTTGTGTTCTTGTGAAAAATCATCTTTTGTGGCCCAAGTACTGTCCCAATCAAGTGGGAAGCTTCCGGTCTACAATATGAAGTGAATGCGGAAGTCCCTGAAACCTGCATTCTATTGAAAATCCAGCAGAGGGCGACTCTTCTGGTTGCAAAAAGAAGTCCGGCTCCATTAGAAATAATGGGAAAATGACCCTACTTCTCAGCTGAACCTGTCAATCAGGCTAGAGCCGACTCGTACCCTCAGCACTGTGTAAATTTAACCAGTACCGTTGAAAAAGCTTATTAGGAGTTGGCTGTTCACTTTCTCTGGGTAGTACATTTAGTTTTAAGACTGTTGTTCGCTAGACAAAGTTATCAGCCGTATACTCGAGGCTTCAAAACGGCAGTCCAACACCTCTGTTATAGGTCTGGAGTGATAACTGGTGTTCTCAGAACTCAATGTAACTTATCTGTAGTTATATACAAGCACCAATATGTCTACTCTCAGCTAAAACTTGAGATAGTTTTTGTTTTTGTTTTCTCTGGTTGTTTATTGGAAAATGAAAACATCTACTACCTTTCGTATGTGTAACAAGACTCTAAAAACTACAGTGTATGACATTGTAAAGTTACGGTGACATGGAAGGAAGAGCTGAACAATAATTGTTGAATGAATGGAAATAATGTGCCTTGCTTATAATTTCATAATTATCTATTTTTGTTTAAATTTTGTATTTTTTTTGTGTCCTCAGTTGACCTAACATGTAAATTTAGTTATTATTTTTACTGGAGCCTTGCTGTTCTCTTATTTTTATATGGTTTTGAAGAATGCAAATAACTTCCTGACGAGATTTTTACAATTGTGAATTGTAAATACAGGAAAAAGGCGAGAAACCAACGGTGTAGATGTCGAATATTGACAGCTTTACTAAAAATGATGGCGAATCGAACATGTGCTCAATCGTTTTCGGAGTTCTGACGCTCCGCAACTGTCAGCGGGGGGAGCTAGAGAACCAGCCCGCGGAGAAGCTAACGAGCCGGCCGGCCAGATCCGCTCACAGAGCCCTCAGACACGCAGACCACTGCAGCCAACACAGCAGAGGAAAGACCCACAGCTGTATCATAGTTTTAACCTTCGTACCGCTGTTATTCTGTCTGTACATTCTGAGTAATTTTGTAAGGTTTTAACTAAATAGTGATGCACAAAAAAAATCTGGTCTTGTGAAACTAGAAAATTAAACAAATAGAAAGAAAGGGGACTGTCTTTTCTTTAGTACTATTATTATAATTAATATTGTTATATTAGACATTACATTGTTTGTGTACAGTAGAGTTGTGGTCTAAGTATTTGCCTTTTATTTGCTTTTATTTTATATAATTTTTATGTATGCAAATATATCTTAAGTTAAAACCTACAGTTAACCCGATTCTGAGCTTTTTGTTTTGCGGGATGAAGCCTGGCTGTTATAATAATCAGAGAAATGCAGGCGGCCTCTGTGCTGGAGGTATTGCGCAATACAGCAACAACGCATCGTCTCAAACCGTCAGCAGCGTTTTGTGTGCTCGCGACATTGCAAGTTCATTCTTCCAAGAACGACTAGCAAGAATGAATGAAAGCATGAATCATCAGCAAGTGTCCCTCTTCCACCAACACACACGTGCTACGCCTACACGTGCGCGCTGACGACCCAGGGTTAAGGTTAAAAATTTGGATTTATTTACGCACTTTTAAAAAGATTTATTGAAAGTTTTATTGTTTTTACATGTTTATTTACAGCATTAAACGTTGAAATGTATATTGTAACTAATTGGGAGAAAACTGGTAGTTCTATGGAAAATCAGACGTTGAGCTCCCCCATATTGCCAAAATGGCGTGATCCTTGTTTCGCTGCGAAGCTTTGACTGTGAGATTGACAGTTGAATCAGGCTCCGCCCATCGAAGCATCAAATCTTCGACTATTCGGGGTCAGCCCTACAAATATCCTATAGAACGAGACATTTACAGACATGTAACTGTAATATATCTTTTCTATACTGTTTCCTTTAACATTCTTGTCTTGCTCCCATCAGAAAATTGAGGTGACCAACAAGTCGGTGTTTGAGCTCTTGTCCAAAACAACAGAATACCTCCAGCCTAACCCAGGTAAAAAAAAAAACAACAGATTGTGTTATTTTGTTAAAGAAGATGCTGTTCTATTATCTACCACTACAACACTGTCTTGCTAAATGAATTCAGTATGAGGTATTTTAATTGTTTTCCTCTGTAGCCTCTCGAGCCAAACTGAACATGCTGAACACAGTGTCTAAGATCCGAGGGCAGGTGAAGACCACTGGCTACCCTCAGACCGAAGGCCTGCTGGGAGACTGCATGCTGCGCTACGGACATGAACTGGGAGAGGAGTCAGTCTTTGGTAAATAGTGGCCGGGGCTGTAGAGAGGCGTTTATAGATGGTGTTTCCCATTTACCACCAATCAAAGATGCGCTGTACATTGCCACCGCTTATATATGGACTTTAAGTACTTAGAAATAAAGCCACATGCTAGAAACCAGAAATACTTATTTAGAGGTGAATTTGGATGCTAGATGTTTTATGTTAATGCAGTGATCTTTACTGTTTTTCCCATTAGTCACACTGGCAGGGCCGAGTCAACAGGAGAGCCACGAAACACCAAAAGCCCCTCAACCATTAACCTGCATACTAATTTGTCATCCCACGACATATAATATGTAATACAGCCAACACAATCCCAGTGAAATACAGATGCTTAGATGAGCAGACGCATTAAATGTTCTATTTGTTTGTTGTTGCAATCTTTGTAAGGCATTCAAATCCTCTTTGGCTGAAGTGCTGCTGCAGAGATGCTTCATTTGTGGTGATGGCTCTGAGTTTTGGGAAGTGAATGATTTTTTTCTGTCAGGTATATACAGTTGTTTTGTTCTGGAAAGCTCGATTCCATTCAGCATGTTGCCCTGAAGCTTATCTCCCTGTTGAAGCTGCAAGTTCAGAGAGTTCAGGTGACTGGTGATATCAGTCAGAAAGACCAGCTGTACAATCCAGTGTGGGTCTGATTCCCCCCCCCCCTCACGGAAAAGTGCTAAACTCGGGATGAAGGCTCCACTCAGACTGCTATCAGTTTCTCTTTTTAACAGAAATACTGTTTTAATTGACGATTTAGTTTGTTTCACATTAAAAGCCTTTTAGTAGCTCAAAGGTTGGCTTTTATGGATCTGTGCTTTGGTATTCAGTTTGATGTGTGTTTAGTTTCACTGTGACTGATGGCTTTGGAAGGGAAATGCATCACGTTGTTAAGGCAATAAAAGAGAAAAAAAATAGGTATTCAGAGTTGCAGATAACTAATGCTTGCTAAAATGTGTGTGTGAATGAGTGAATGTGATGTAGTGAAAAAGCGCTTTGAGTGGTCGGAGGACTAGAAAGGCTCTACAAATACAGAGCATTTACATTCTGTATGTGGGCTCATCTAAATTCCCATACGTAATAAGGGCGAGTTTGAAAGTTCTGAAAGAACATTTAAAGTCTAAGTGATTAAAGGGTCAATGAGATATTTCCAAACTGAAAATGTTACACTGTGAATTCCATATTTGTAGGATTTGAAAATATAGCTGTCCCAGACGCACAGCATGCCTGTCTTCATGTCTTCAAATGATTTCTACGTTACGGGGCCTAGCTGAAAAAGGTGGGCTTTTTCTCTGTGTCCTGTAGGCTGTTCTCTGGTGGATATGGGTGAGGCCATGAGGCAGATGGCAGACGTGAAGGACTCCCTCGATATAAACGTCAAACAAAATTTTATTGACCCCCTGCAGAATCTACAGGACAAGGACCTCAAAGAGATCACGGTACATTTCCGCAGCTTGTTTCCTGTAACTAAACTTACACAAGGTGAAACACAAGCCCTGCCAGCACAGTGTGCCGTTTTTTAATAAATGATTGGCAGTGTAGACAACCACAGTAGGAGAGATTATTGATTTTGTTCCATAGTTCTAAACCTTGCACTCAAGTTTTAATAATTCTGACAGTGTTTGCAACACTGGGGAAATATAACAGTACTTCCAGTGTGTGCCAAGATTTCTGCAGCACATCTGCAACACTGGCCTAAGCAGCTATTAGTTTATCTTTTCATTTACAGAATGCCTGCAGTGTGCTTCAGGTCGCTGCCATCCCTTTATTTCAGTTTAACTATTAATACCACCAAATCTTAAATTCTCTTCAAGGTGGAGCTAATTTAACTAATTGATAAACAGCTGGATAGTTCAATCTATAATACTGCATTAGTAAACAGCACAGTAATATAATATATATATATAATTAGGTATCACAGTATCATTTAGGAGAATGCTTTCTCAACAGTTCACAATCAGCAGATAAAATTAATATTTGTTAAAATTCCTGCTTAAATATATCTACTATCTAGCGCTGGACAATAAAACAATAACTATAATTATCGAATTTCAATAACAATAAAACAAATGTTCAATAAATATTTATTCACTTTATTCACTTGAATCATACACAAATCAGGACTTAATTTTTTCCATTAAGACATTTATTTTGTTGAGGAAAAAGGACAGAAAAAAGCTTTTAATTCATTTTGCTCATGCATATTTATTGACAAAGATTTTATCATAATTGTTGTGAAGATTTGTGAAGTGAGCCACTGCTTGGCATCAAGTGTTGACCATAAAGAAAAGTTTAAACCACAATTAACCATTGATTTTCTTCAACTTTCACTCAGGAGCAAAAATCAGCCTTTAAACTCGAAAGAAATAACGATTTGATATTTATTGTGAAAATTATCGATATCAAAAGATATGAAACTTTATTTTTGGCGATATCGTCCAGCCCTACTACTCTCACAGAATTCTGCTTTGCTTTCACATCAGCGTTCACATTAGCCCAAACGAACTGAACTGTTTGTGTTTGCAGCACCACCTGAAGAAGCTGGAGGGCCGCAGGTTAGACTTTGACTATAAGAAGAAGCGTCAGGGGAAGATCCCGGACGAGGAGATACGGCAAGCTGTGGAGAAATTTGAGGAGAGCAAAGAGCTGGCCGAGAGGAGCATGTTCAACTTCCTGGAGAATGACGTAAGAGAGGATAGACATAAAGAATGGACTAATAGGGAGTAGGGCTGTACGGTTTGACAATATCCCATATATATAATATAGGTCATTTCAAATCCCAATAACTATACATATCCTGATATAGAACATTTTTTGTAAATTCAATGAAATACGGCATTTCTTACTGTAACTCGGGACATTTCTCTGCATTATAAAGGTGGGGTAACTTGAGCTATTCTGGATAGTGTTGTGTGACTCAGCCATTATTTTTGATGCAAATTTCTTCCCTGCAGCACCAGCATGTTTGGGAGAATGTTTGGGAAAATAATACAGTTTTCTCAGTAAAGATCTATACACTGAGCGCATACGCAAACAGTTTTGTAACTTTTCTTTAATCTAAAATTAATTCTTCTTTCTTTTTTAAGAACCAATTAGCACCGGCCTAAACACCGGCTGTTCTTCTTCGTCCATTCAATTAGATGTTCTTAGTAAACGATGACTATTAAATAACCTTTCTTCATAACTGCTCCATATTTTATTTGAAAATATTTAAAAGAATACAGTACCTTATCCTCCACTTTATTTTAGTGTTTACTTACAAACAGCTTACCTTGCTTTTCATTTTAGACACACAGACACTGGTCTCCCTCTGTTATGTGGCTGCTTTATTGACTCAGCAGTTTTACATGAAGTGCATTTTCATTTACTCATTTTATGCAAAGCGACGTACAGTTGCTATACATGTCAGAGGTCGCCTCTGGAACAACGAGGGGTTAAGTGTCTCGCTCAGGGACACATTGGTGGATGGGTCACAGTGGGGGATTGAACCCGGGTCTCTCACACCAAAGGCATTGTAGTTTTGCCTCCATATCTTAGTCACATATAATATGTACCTTTTAGTTATTTTTTTCATTGTTTGATGTATCAGACAGTAACTTTCAGAAAACCTCCATTAGAATATGAAAGTGAGTGTAGGAAGCTTCTTCAGTAAGTCTTCAGTCCTTCTCTGAGTGGAAAACGCCACCTCGATTCCTAAGAGCAAATGTGAGCTCTTTGATAGATTTCAGGCCCTTGCTGGAGGGTAAGTTAATTTATATGTGTGTGCACATCCTCTGCGGTTGTGTCTAATAGGTGGAGCAGGTGAGCCAGCTGTCGGCACTGATCGAGGCGGCAGTAGAGTACCACCGGCAGTCGCGTGAAATCCTGGAGGAGCTCAGCGGAAAGCTGCAGAAGAGGTGAGGAACGCGCTCTGCTGTACTTGAGGCCACAGATCAAGTTGCCGTCAGTAATTACTTTGCAGCGTTCCTCCTCTGCGGGAGAACCACAGTCTGGTTCTGCTGTTCAAAAAGTAATTTCAGTGGTTGTGACATTGAAAGCATGAATGTTAGGGGTGACAGCAGTAAATTTAGAACCTAAGGTGTCTATGTACTTAATTTAAAGTCCAGTTGGCCAATGACACACCTGCGTTTCAGTACCAATACCCATATGATACGTTTTCACCGTACAATATTGCCTAAAAAACTAAATTAAATTTACATTCAAGACTGCAATTTGCTACATTCTGCTGTAACTAAATGCCAGATGACAATACATAAACCATAAGGCCATACAACACGGAGGGCCTCATTTCATTCCTGGATGACCTCTATGAAAGACTTGGTGAGGAAAGGGGGTAAGGCAGAAGGAGGAGGACATAGGGTGTCGTGTGGGCGAGAACATTAATAACAGAATAAATAGTAATACATAATGTAATGCTACCCCTTGTTAGTGTTTTTAGGTCATTGTGTAATGAGTGGCAAAGTGCTGCTGTTTGGAGACAAATGTCGGTTAATCCTGAGAATTTTAAGAAGTATTTTGGTTGCATTAGTGCATTTTGGAAGTTAGATTAACTGTTGTGCTGATCTACATGCTGGTTAAGAGAACTTTCCCAGCAGTTTTAAAAACAGCACTGCAAAAACTAAAATCTAAGATGATTTATCTTAATTGAAGGCAAAATATACTTGTTTTCTTCTTACCAGGCCGCTTTTATGTAAGAGAATTTCACTAGTTTCAAGTTTTTTTGTCCTTAAGTAGCAAGTGAAATATCCTTGTTCCGTTGACAGATAATTTAGCTTCTTTTAAGTAATATTTCCCCCATTTTAATGCTTTTTTCCCTTGTTTTTGAGAGCTCACTTTTTGCAGTGAGGAACTCAGTTTAGAGAAATGTGTGTTACTAGTGAAACACACTGAAATCTGTTTCTTGTTTCCAACAACCAACAACACATTTACAATTACAGAATAAATCTGAAATTGGGATTTAAATCAGGAAATGTGTGATGAAGGGGCTGATTACCAGCCATCTCAGCTACTGATATCATGAAACTCATCACAGTTGAGCAGAAGTTTATCTGTAAACCTGTGTACATTTACCATATATAGGAGTTCAATACGGGCCCCCAGCTCATTTTTGCCCCCGGGCCCTCTAGCGAGCCCTGCCATTCTCTGACTCGAGTCCGTTTCCCTGGAGTAGCTTCAAAGAGAAACACTGTCCTAAACATAATGCCAAATCACTAAAGCAACCCTTCATGTCCTTTGATGGAACAGTTTTTTTTCTATCTTGTCATCACAGGATATCCACAGCCAGCAGCCGGCCCAAGAGAGAATTCAAACCAAAGTCCATCAGGAGCAACAATCAGCACAACGGCCTGACCTACAGCTCCTCGCTCAAATCCACCGGTACAGCTGCCGCATGTCTGTCCTTATTTTGTCTGGGTTTTGCTTTCTTTTCTCTCAGCCCCCGCCTTTTGCTTTGAGTTCTAGTTTATACTTTTATCATTTATCCCTTTCCCAATTCTTCCTGACAACATCAACACCCATCACAATATCAACATTACTTTGGTATTTAGAGTTTAAAATAAGTGGTAATTCAGTTTATAAAGGATCTTGCTAGCCCTGTACGGTCTCGCTAAATAAAGTACAGCTAATAGCAGCAATTCACATCTCTATTTTGAGAAAAACTCATGTCCTTTCAACAGGTGAATCTATATTGTGAGCCAAACTGAGTCTGCAAGCTGTCAGCAGGAACCATTTAGTTTTACTATTAATTGTAGTACTCTGTAGTATGTCTACACGTGTAGTTTTTATCGGATTTGTTTTTGTAGGCCTTCCAGAGAGTATTTATTGGGCCCATTTGATCCCTTCCCAGACAAAGCTGGCTCCAACACCGTTGTAGGTGCTGTGTCAAAGACAATGACCCAGATATTTAAAGCTGGAAACTAGATATTTATAACAAAAGGTTTTTGTTACAAACGGAGTGCATGTAGTCAAGCTCACAATTCTGTTTTCACCCAAAACTTGCTCTGCTCTTTCAAATCTGTCCTCAACTTACAGATCGATCTTAAATTTGATCTTTCAGTTGTTTTCTTGTTCATGAACTTCCATATACCTTCCGCCTGCTTCTCCTGTGTGTGTGGTTACAAGCCCTCAGAACACATTAATGTGCTTGGTCAGTACCAAGTGAAAAGGACATTTCCATCCATGAAGAAACGTTGCTGCCCTCTGCTGGTAAAAGTCAGACCAGCTAGTGTCCATGCAGTATGGAGCGGTACACTGTATATTCAAAGGGCATATTTAGGATGGTTTCTTCATCATATACTGAATGTGCATTGTTTTGTGTTGTCTTGTGCTCAACATCACCTCCATTTGTCTTCACATCTCACCCAGCTGATCATATAACCTCCGTTCCACTGTCATGGCCCGAGAGCCCCACAACCAATGGCAATATTCACCGTGAGTAACACACACTGTCTCTGCATTCACATGTGTAAATGTTAGTGGTCAACTGGGTTTCTTATCAGCTGATGGAGATGCCGATATTTAGAGAGAGGGCGGCCGATGACCGATTTATAATGCTGATATCAAAACAAATAAAAGTCATTTATAATTCCATTATTCCATGTAGATTACAATCTAATATACGTGGTTATCTTAGCCAGTAATGTGTTGTTTTAGATGGAAGTTATATTAATTAATGAAATAAAAAAATATATTGGGGAATGATGTAGATTTCAGAACTTGGCTGGTGTTGAAGGGAGAGTGGGGTACAGTTTGTCAGAAGTGACGTCATTCAGCTGCATTATTCTCTACAGTCTAACACTATATATTTAATGCTAGCCAAGTAATGGTTTTAGATTGGATCTGCTGTCATTTAGGATGATAAATCAGCCTTGTGGGTAGGGCTGGATCCGAATATTCGATCGTTGGGTACACATTAAATTTTTTATTTTGGGATTCGAATGTTGAGGGTTTTTTTCGCACGCCTGACCTCCGCTGACAGCAGTAAACTTAACACTCCCGTTCACATCAAAGGGAAAGCAAAATGAAGCCCTCAGCTGTGTGGGAGCACTTTAAACTGAGGGACGACAACGGCAGTGTGGCAGTTATGGGATTTATTTATTTTACAATTGCAATTGCGCTCATCGCGTCTGCTCTCCTTGGACGCCCGTCCGTCTAATATATTCTAATATAGTTTCTGCTCTGGACCTGCTCAGTGCAGCCTCTCACTGTGGGCTCTCAGTCTGGACTCTCAGGTAGGTACGGTTCCAACCTGCTCTGCACAGCAGGCACCAACCCGGTTCGGCACGCACCTAATCTTCCGCTGCTCCCCGGCTCAATCTCCCGTCCCTTCAACCCCACAGTAAATATTCCTCTTTTATCTAACTCCTCATTCTCTTAGTCCTGCACTAGGATCTACTAGCCTAGACATAACACAGTTAAAAACAAAGCGTTGGTAATAATAACTTGCTGTTTTAGTAAGCCTATGCTGTGAAAATTAAAAAACGGAGCGCTCTCTCTCTCTCTCTCTCTCTCTCTCACGCACATACAGACATTAATAAGCCGTCGTTATCTCTCCCCCATCGGATTCTCCCTCACTCATGTCATTGCCAGAACCTCATCAGGCAGTCCTTCTTTTGCTGTTCTGCTTATATCTGTCAAATACGTAGCTGTAGCTCGTGACAGCCAGCTTATCAACAGACGCTTAAACAATCGGGGCATAACGCGACCGCTGTTTCTTTATGTGTCTTTAATCACATAACCGGCTCTTTTCATACATACTGATACTGAACAATTAATGTTCCCTTGCGTGCACATGATTAAGGGGAAAAAAAGAGATCTATCTTATGGAAAAACGCAACACCAGTTTGATTGATATTCCCTGCACAAACCCTTCATATACTTCAGTAGCATCCAAGTTAGGAAAGCAGCCATTTCTCATGCAGGAGTGAAATATAAATTCAAAGATCTTCTAATCTCTTTGTGCGGTGCAGAGTCGGAGGTGTTGGACCAGCCGTGCTGTCGCGCCCTCTATGACTTTGAGCCAGAGAACGAGGGCGAGCTGGGCTTCAAGGAGGGGAACATCATCATCCTCACCAACCAGATAGACGAGAACTGGTATGAAGGCATGATCAACGGCGAGTCCGGCTTTTTCCCCATCAACTACGTGGAGGTCATTGTCCCCCTCCCTCAGTGAAGACCGGCACCTGGAGTCTTCTACAGACTCCCTCCTTCCTCATCACACTCAGCCTCTGCCCTCAGCTCGACTCAGGCCTGAAAATGCACAGGGCCTGCTCAGCCCGAAGCCGAAACATTTCTGTCTTCTTATTTTCAAACCGAGCCAGAGAGGTAGTAGTTTTGTCCCAAGCTGACTTAAGATCAAATGTGGCTGATCACATTGTTTTCTCTGTTGATATTTATGAACCTGAAGCCAATGGAAACCCAAGCCGTTAAGTGGTTGGACCTTTTGTGTCCTCTGGGTCTGACCGAGGTGAAAATGTCTAGCAGTCGTCAAGCTCTGTAATCCACACCGTCAGTCCTTCAGATGATGCTGGTCGAAGTTTATCATGTGGTGCTGTTTCTGCCCCCTCATCACGAAATGAGGCTCCTTATCTTTGCTTGAAGTGCACCACTGGACATCAAAACTACAAGTTATATGATTTTATTATTATAATCACATAAGGAACATAATACACAAGTTAATCCCATTAGCTTGTGTAGTTACCAGCATCTCAAATCCCCTCATAGCGGTGGCTTGAACTTCAGTGGTTCCTCGCACCATGCTGACCACGTACTACTGTAGCTAGCTTATAAGTAACCGTGCAGATAGATATGAGATTTGAGATATTTGTCTCAAAGGTTTTTGGCTCCAACCCAATACAATCGGGGTGTATGGAATTTCAGTTCAGGATTTAAGTAAGACAAGCTAAGAAAATAGGAATTGCTTTAAGTTGGGTGAACTGACCCTTTTAAAAAAGAGATGAAGACCCGATGAGTTGATGGCAAGCCTCTGAAAATCTCTCAGCCAGTGCGGCCCTTGAAGACTTTCAAGGTCCTGTATTCCACTGATTTTGTGTTTTGTATTGGTAAATTCTTTTATGTTCTGTGATATTATCAAACACAAGCCTCGAATGTTTATGATGCCTTACAAGGCCTTCAAGTGAAGTCTTGCCAAAGTTCAAGGATAATTCCAGTTTATTACAGCCTCATCAGTAATAAAACATGTACTCATCAAGTTAATTGCGGAGATTGGGAACATGTTTGTATTGCTTAAAAGAAGTCAGACGGGTCAATAAACACCAACAGTCAGACAATTAGGCAGGTTGTAAACACTAACCAATGTTTTCATATCAACACAGGGTCAAATGACTACTTGTATCTTAGGGATGCACCGAATGTTCGGCCACCGAAAGTAAAAATAGCACTTTCGGTGTTCAGCCTAATAAGTCAAAAGACCTAATAAATTTTACCGAACAATTATGTTGACATGTCGGCAGTGTGGAAGCACTTTCAAGTGTCTGAGAAAGACACAAAAGTGGCTGTTTGCAGACACTGTCCTGCTCAACTGTCTCCTAGCACATCCACTCCATCTGTGGCTGACTTCTTAGAAAAGGCAGCAAACGGTCTGACCCGCTTTGAATGTTTCTGTCACTTGTTTTTGAGAAGGCAATTAAGCCAGCTACACCTAAATTTGGACCCAGCCCCCAAAGTCTCTCCAAATCCTGTGGGAAACACTGAGTAAAAAGCACATTTTGACTATTTAATTTCTGCAATGGTAAAAAAAAGGCAAAAAAAAGGGAAAAACGTTGTTCAGTATTCGGGAAAGTTTTTGATTATATTCGGCTTCGGCCAAGAGTTTTCATATCGGTGCATCCCTATTGTATGGAGGTGTCACTTGTTGTGATGAACAAGCAGAGTTATCACCAGTTATCATCTGCAGTTCCCGTCAGCTCTAGAAAGCTAAAAGAGCATATCAGGGATTATTGACAATGTTTCAGGCGTGCTCGCTTTCAGTTTTACCCCTCAAAAAGATTTTTTACATAATCTGGACAAACTGTTCACTGCTTGTATACAACCTGTCTGATGGTCTGACTGCTATGTTTCTAACTCTGTTGGACTTTGTTGCAGCGATCTTGCCATGTTCTCTGATTTGATGAGTACACACTGTTATCATAACAGATAGAAATGAGAAAAACAACACCTGAGTAGTTATAAACCTGGATTATTGTTTAAAATGTGAAAGGAAACCTTTGATCGTGGAGGCTTTAGCTGGATGGTGCTCTTCCTGCCCACTCAAACATTCCATTGCTAGTTATTTTAGACATGCTTTTATTTTGTTAACATCTTTTGAACATTGATCACTCCTAACTCACAGAGTTAAAGTCACCGGTGTTTGAAAGCCTCCCATTCCACTGGGCTCATGGTAGACAGTACGTGATGTACATTACTACTGTGTTAGACTCTGCGTGTGTTCAGGTCGGCCTGTCTTGTGTTGTAACGCTGTACCTTACTGTTCACGTCTTTTCTCCTCCCCCAAACTGACTTTGCCCGTTTGCCTGCTGTGCTCTTAAGTGTTGCCCTGAACACGTTGTTAGACTTGTGAGGAACTGAAGTGAACTCCATCTCTCTGAATGTCCCTCTCTTTCTCTGTTTACATGCTCGGACTTATTGTGACATAATGTAAGGACTGTACTGCCCGCTCTGTGTCAGATAGGGATGAATGCCTTGTCACACTGAAACCATACGAAAGTGCTTTTTGAAATGTCGTCTGTATTGCACTGAAGCTTTAGAATCTACCTACCACACACGTTTATGGACGTGCAACTTTTTGTTTGTTAATGTTTTGTTTTTCCTTTTCTTCAGTGTTGCACTTTGCGTTACTCACAGCGGGGTTAGAATCACTACTTTATCAGATACATACATGAAGTCAACACGGTAGATACTTAGATTTATATAAGCATAGATGTTCTTTGTACTGTACTATCATGAATCCACTATCTCAATTATTGTAATGTAGATTGGAAAAATGGTTATATCACATCTTAAATCAGACGTGGAAGTAGATGAACCTTGTGAAACTCAATACTGTTGTCTTATTAGCTAGTGATAAGCTGTAGGGTAAGGAAAGGTCTGTCACTTGCCTCGCCGTGCTGACAAACCTGTTCATTTAGGAAGTCCCATCACAGCATGAGTTGGCAAAACACCTCGGGAGCCTCATACCCAGGATGCCACCAGATGAATTCAGTATAATCGACATTTCCACAGCACTAATTCTGTCTGAACATCAACAGAGTTACACAGAAATACTGTTTTCTATCTCTAATGTACTCTGCAGTTTTGTTAAAATGTTTTACATTGAAAGCTCTCCTGTTGCTTAAAGGGCATAGAGTTGCTATTGTATAAATTGGGTCTATCAAAAAATTCAATTCATTTCCTCCCTAAGCAATGTGAGGTAGCTGACATTTTGAGCACTTCCACAGCTTGGATGGGAAGGATTAACAAATGGGCTAGAAAATATCTGCTTGTTTTAGGGCTGGGCAACATGGCCAAAAATGTTATCACGATAAAAAATTCGATATTGATAATTATCATGATAAATGTCAAATCACTATTTCTATGGAGTTTAAAAGCTTATTTTTGAAAGTTTAAGAAACCAGATGCTTAGTTGTGGTTTTAAACTGTTCTTTATGGTCAGAACAAACACGTGATGCCATATAGTGGATCACTTAACAAATCTGAGGTAGAACATTCAAAACAATTATGATTAAAGTCTTTTTTAAGTAAAATTAAGTAAATTCTTTTTTCAGTCCCTTTTTCTCAGCAAAATAAATATCTTAATTGAAGCACTCTTGATTCAATTTGAACATTTACTGAACATTTGTTAGAATATAGAAAATTATATTGCGATAATTATCAGTATTGTTTTATTTATTTATTTTTATATAAAAAAGTCCAAGGTACAAGCCAATGTACATAAAAAGAAGAAATTTGGCAAGAAACATCCAAACACAGAGTCATTGATTGAGAGTTAAAGGTTACGCTTTAGAGAAAACAGCCTTTTGGATTCTGGGTCCACGTACAGCAACCACAGTATAGCATGTTTTTTGCAACAACAAAGAATTTTGAATTCACTACAGCTCCGATTTGTGGCTCTGACAAGCTTCTTTTCAATAGCAAGAGTAGTCAAGTTTCATGGGTATTGTAGTATTCAGACCCATCCGCCATGCCAAAATGATAAGACAGGATTTCTCAGAAACTATAAGTAAGACTGGTGATCATAGCATATATCTAACATCATTACATAATCCAGGAGAGTCCAGTGTGTCTGCGATAGGTAACACTGAGGATATTACTGAAAGAAACATTTGAAATGGGAATACAGAAAAGAAACAAGCCCGGCGTTGTTTTCTTATATCTACTGTAACTGGTAGGCTTTTTGTTTGAAACATTTGCAGGAAGTTAGTAATAGAAACAAAAGTAGTAGATAGTAACTTATCGGCGCTCAAGAAGTGTTTAGAGATTAATTGGTGGGTGAAAACTGAATTTCTGACACAATTGATGTTGTGCTGATGCAGTTCAGGCTGTGGAAATGCCCTTATACTGAATGTACCACGCGACTTATCGGAGCACAAGCAATTCCACCCCAACTCAGTGTTTAGCTGCATTTATTTATTTGACCACAATTTGAATACTGGCTTTTGTTTGAGAATTTACAGTACTCAAAAATGGCAATTCCACAAAACACTTTTTCCCTCCAGCAGTGTAGTTTCAAAATAATGTGAACAGACATAACCCCTGACCTAAACTCAGGTTTGGGTGTTTGTTCCAATTTGTACTCGATGGAATACATTTTTAATCTACGTTACTTTATCATACGTGGACCAGCTCCACTTCATATACAATAGAGAGACAATAAAGACAAAATTGGATATTTACTTTTAGCTTGCAATTGCTTAGATGTTGAAGACGTTGCATGACATTTGTTTTTGTTTTTGTTTTGTTTTTTTCTAAAGATTGTTATTATGGATTTTGGAGGGGGTGGGGTGGGGGGCTCCATCAGAAGGTTTAATCCAGCATTCAGTCTCCAGAAAACAGCAGTGGGAGATTTCATTTACAAGACTTTGTTTAAGAAATTGAAGTTTAAATGCAGTTATCATGAAACAAGATGAGGAACCATCCATGCTAACTATCCATTTCAAAAGTGTCGGACTTTGTTTACAGATTTACGACTGAATGCAAGATTAGCCTATTTTAAACTTTTTTTTGCCCCACAGATAGAATGACTCTTTGAAACACTAAAACAAGATCTCTGAACACTGTACCTCTGTTTGCCTTTGCAGGTCCACAAAAGTCAATTTAGAACCAACTTCTAGGCAAAAGAAACTGGCTGCGCAGTTGTGTTTTATTTTTTCAGTAGCATAATTTATGCAAAAGGTGTTTTATAGATGTTGTAAATTAATATATTGATAAATATATTGAGTAAATAAATGACAAGCAAATATTGTGCCACCATTCACATGTGTGCTTTGTTTGTGTGCATCTTGATCTGTGTATTACACCATATGGCCAAACGTATGTGGACACCCCTCTCAGCCTAAATTTGTAATGTGGCTGTTTTTCATGTTGTAGGCACCTTGTAATTTCAGTGAAGGGAAATCTGAATGTTACAGCACAACTTGTGGGCTTCTAACTTGTGTCAGCAGTTTAGGGAAGGTCCTCCTCATGTTTCAACATGACGATGCTCCCCGTGCACAAAGCCAACTCCATAAAGAAATGCTTTTGTCATAAGCACTTTAAATTAGTGGTTCCCAATCAGGGCACCCTCACAAGGACCAAATGAATTTGATTTATTAATTGCTGTTAGGATGTTAAGAAGAAAGAAGAATGTGAACAAATAAACAAATTGTCTACCCCAGCTTTAATCGAATGGATCTGAAAGTTATTGCTGGTGTAAGAAACCAATAAACAAAATACAAAAAAACGTATTTATTGTACTTTTCTCTATTCTTTGCTATTTTCTTGCTAAGTAAGTTAATACTGTATAATTTTACCTCTTTATGCCTCTGAAAGCTATGCAAGTTAAACAGTCTAATTAATGACTACTGCTTACATGCAACCTGTGATGTGGGGTAACAAATGGTAAATGGACTGCACTTATATAGCACCTTTTTACACACACCCAATTTGGGATTCAGTATCTTGCCCAAGGACACCTCGACATGCAGACTGTAGGAGCCAGGGTTTGAACCACCCTCTGATTAGTGGACAACCCACTCCACCTACTGAGTAGATATTATTTTGTATTATAAGATCACAAACAAAAAAGGTTGTGAGCCACTGCCTAAAATGATCAACACTCGTATCAGTGATCAGTCTCTAAAGGGAATATTATAAACTATTCTCTATTGACCCTCTGTGAACAGATGGATAGCACTTTTTTTTATTTCATTATAAAGTCCAAAACTGACATAGAATGGTAAACACTATTTAAAATCATACATTTTAATGTCTTCAGGCTTTAAGACTTACCCGGCATCTGCATATAAACCAGTGTTCATTGGAAAGACCGAGTATCCCTTCAGTTTCAGTTGTGAAATTAGTTTGGATTGTGTATTAAAAAGTTTTGTTTTTTTGCGTATATTTCCCAGACACAATGTCCTGGTAGTGGATACTACACAATATGTGAACAGCCTCTATAAAACGTCCGTGTGTGGATTATCCTGATTAATGGAGCCATGTTGCTGTTCATTTAAAAAAAAATCTCTATGCTGTTAACATCACACATTATATTCCATTTTTCTCCATTGCATTTCAATAGAGGTAGAAATCTCTAAATAAAAACTATCTGAATGGCTTTACTCAGGTAAAGGTAAGTAAGAAAATATGTTTCCTTGTTCCTACTAATTTGGCTGGGGACCCTTTGACTCTGGGGACCCTTTGAATTTCAAAGTGAGATCCATTGGTCTAGACAAATAAAGGCAGTGACATTATATCCAGACCTCGGCACTCTTCTGCTTGGACCCTCTGATCCCCCTCTTACTCTTCAGAGGCTGCCTCTCTCCTTTATGGGAGTTATGTCTCTCCGGTATCTCTGGTACAGTCTCTCTGTTCACAGCACAGGTCCAGTCAGGCTGGTGACCCACCACCAGGTCCAAAGTGGGCAGGGAGGTGGTGCTGGTCACGTCCCTGAAGCCTAAAAAGGATGTGAGAGAGGGGCTGTCTGGAGGGAAGGTTTTGTACCCCTCCCTCATACCTGGACAACCTCCCCAGGACGCCCTCTCCCTCAGCCTCACAGCCTGTCGGATCTTCTTCCAGCCCAGGTGGTTGAGCTCCAGAAGGTTGAGCAGGATACAGAAAACACCGACGCAAAACATGAAGAGCAGGAAGATCGTCTTCTCCGTGGGCCTAGAGACATAACAGTCCACCGGCTGGCTGCAGGGGGCCGAAGTACAAAGGAAATGAACAGGAACCTGGAAGCCAAACAGCTTCCACTGAGCCAGGACAAAGCCCACCTCCAAAACAGCCCGTAAACACACATGTAAGATGTAACATTTAGACAGAACCCCACCAGAGACCACATGACCCTCTGCAGCCCCTTCCCTGAAGGTGCAAACTCGGGCATGGCTCAGGGGCACCATGTTGTTGGGGTCTCCCTTCTGAAGGCCCTGGGCGGTGATGCCCTCCAGCACATCTGCCAGGCTGTGACCTAGATGCTTATGAGAGCGGATGGAGCAGCTGTCTGAGTCGCAGCTCCGATCATACACCTCCCGTCCATCGCCTTGCCCTACATCTGGGCCTGCCTGCCCTGGGATGGCCCCGGGTTCTTGCCCCTGCCTCCGGGTGGTGTTGTGAGGCATCTTGGACAGGTTGTGCCACGTGTAGATGATGAAGCAGAGGGACGGCGTGGAGACGCTGATGATGTGGAAGACCCAGAAGCGAGGTTGCGAAATGGGCGCAAACGCGTCGTAGCAAACTGTGGAACACCCCGGCTGCAGCGTGTTGCACACGAACATCTCCTGCTCATCGGTATACACATCCTCAGTTGCCACGGCGACTATGAGCAGCCGGAAGATAACCATTACGGTGAGCCACAGGCGACCGATCATGGTGGAGTGCTGGTGAACAGCATCCAGGAGACGTTTGAGCAGGGTCCACTCCGTCATGGTGGCCTGTGGCTGCCGGCTGCTCTGGACTCCTCCTGAATTCTTACACTGTCGGACTTACTGACATAACTAACTTAAATCACCCTGTTTGTGGATATCAAGCTGGTGGTAAGAATACCACCCTACCTTCCGTTCTTGAGTTTGTTTCTCAATTCTAGAAAGTCCTAGTTCTCATTTCTTAGTCAGAAGGTTCTTCTAAAATCAGAGCAGCTACCCTCCCTGGCTGAAGCCTGTAGTAGACGTCCTCTCTCTGCCTGACTGTTGGCCAGCCCTGCTTGGCTGTCTTGACAGAAGTGGAGCCATTGCAAGAGAGAGCCACCCCATCTTTCAAAGATAAGGATGTCCACTTGACATGAGTCACTTGGCACACTCACTCCTCTCTTGTCTATAGGATTCCCATTTTAAAACGCAGAGACATCACCCTTCCTCTACTGGAGGACCTGCTGATAGTGCAGACTGATCGAGCATTCTTCACAGATTAGTCCTCTGAAAGCTAATGGGCTCTTCCTTTAATGGAGAGGCATATTTTAAATGATGACCAGTACACAGGAGCATGCTCAACTGATTCAGAACAACACACAGTGGCCGCTGTTATGTACAAAAACAACACATCAAGAAGTTTGTGTCAGGACACATGACAGAGCAAAATAATTCAGAAATACATTTTTGACTGGAAGAAATCTGGCTTTCCAGAATTCAGTCTGGTGTGTGTGGTGGGGTTTTCTGTTCCAGGTCTTGTTTTGACTGCTCCCCTCCAGCCACTTGCCAATAGCCTTATTATCTTATCTGTGTTTTAAAAAAAGACCCTTGAAAGGTCTGCTAGCATGAAATTGTCGTGTCTCCCAGATAACACAGTCCTTACTTCAAACAGTCCTGGCAAACCCTGTCCGAGTTTCTGTCTCAGAGCTGCCCTGCCCACTTTCTATTTATGACATGAACAGAAAAATGTGGTGTTGCATAAGATAAAAATGTCTCAAGCTCTCTTTTTTATTCTTTACATAACTTCTTTCATCACTTTTCTGGTGCAGAAATGGTGCAACGCCATGGATGATTCCAAGGGGACTGTCTGAAAGGGCTGTTATCAGCATGTGTATGATTCATTGCAACTACAAGGAACATGTATTTTATTGATGTGGTTCTAAGGGCAAAACCAATATCTATAACTTACACACAATCAAAATAAATGTTACAGAAGATACCTTAAAAAAAATCAGTAGATACTAGTGATACTGCTTCATCCAGTTCTCTGTAAGCCATCGTAACACCTGAGATTGTGCAGCTGTTTTCTTAAGCATTAAGCTTTCTTTAAACCATTCCACAAACATCCACATTTATTTGTCAATCAGCTCACATTCAGCCAAATTATGACAGTATAAGAGCTTACCTGAGAGCTTGCAGGGCCACCTGCCTCAAGCTGCTGTTACTAGGATATTCCTGATAAATGGAACTAATGACAGACTGGCAATCAGTTAGGCATGTTTTGGTAAATAATATTATAAAGCATTTGAATAAAGGCCAATGGTATAATGATCCTTCTACTTTGGGGGTGAGGGATGGCTACACAAGTTACTAAAGGACCATTGTTTGTTAATCTGCATGAACCTTATGTGGAGTAAAAGACTGTTGAAATATAGAATTCAAATTAAATGATCATGTTCCTACCGTCCATACCCAAAGTTGGATGAAGCAGACGAAGCTATGATGGAAGGTTTCTCATCATTCAGTGTGAACAGATAGAAACATTTCTGACTTTAGATGTCGTAGGATGACACATCATACAAACTGCTTCATTTGCATACTGAACCCATGACATATTATTTTTACTTCTATCAAGAATAATACTTGTGCTTGAGCACTGTCTCTGTCGTGATGATGACGGCGTACAGGTGAAGCTTGAATCACACAGTGTGAGTGAATGTCCAGACAGCCTCCTACAGTGCTTTTGTCTACTATCGATCCAGACCGAGGCACACTCTGGATTAACATCTTTTAATGGCTGTTTTGGGACCTTATGAAGCGAGGGATCGATGGACTGGAGAGTGGCCCCTCGCTCCAGTCCTGAGCTGGATTAGAGAGGGCCCCAGTCTCATCTAACACAATGCAAATGGAGGAGGGGGGTTGAAGGTTCTGCCGATTGCAAGCAGACCTTGACTAAAAGCCAGACACAACATCGGCAGACACAGACGTGCAGCCGGAGGCAGCCTCCAATGGGCCTGCACCCAGCGCTGACACAGAAAGGACAGGAAGTATGGCAGGATGGGGAACTGCGTACATCTGTTCCAGCATGTCTGGGGCTCTGCGTGCTGCTGTCCCCCCTGTCAAAGGAATTATTCACCCTTTCAGTCTGTTCATGAAGGAATTCCCAATGATGTGTGCTCCCTCTGGGCTTTGTCAGGAGCAGCCAGGGAATGAATAACAGACAGGATTAGAGGGAAACGGGAGAAAGAGAGGGACAGGCTGCTTTGCCAGTCAGATAAAGTCTTGCTCTTTCTCCTCAATGCTGAAGAGTTATTTTTGAGCAGGACTTTTATCTGAACTTGTTTGGCGGAAGAGGAAGAAAGAGAGAACGGACTATAAATATGAATGGAAGGGCTTCCCTTGGCTTAGCTCCGAATGTGCTCCAGACGGACAAGTTTTACTTTATTAAAAATGTGTAGCCTCAACTCAAAAACAATTCTAAAATCTGATCCTAAATCTGAAAACAATCATAAATGACTATCTATCTTTTGTGTTTTTTCACAGTGCCCTCAGTACACCTACAGCTGTTTTTACAGATAGGGACAAGGGAAATGTACTGCCACGTCTATATCAGTAAAGCTATAAATCACAATGCTACATTTTCCGTCAGTTCTGCTTTTTAGATATACAGCTGGCTGTTTGAACTGCTTTATGTTACATGACATCGGGCGAAGGGCGGGGTACACCCTGGACAGCTCGCCAATCCATCGCAGGGCTACAAATAGACAAACAACCAGTCCAACTCACACTCACGGACAATTTAGGGTCACCAATCAACATAGGCTACATGTCTATGGATGGTGGGAAGAAGCCGGAGCACCCGGAGAGAACCCACGCAGACACGGGGAGAACATGCAAACTCCCCACAGAAAGGCCTGGAACGACCAAGGTTCGAACCCACGACCTTCTTGCTATGAGGTCACAGTGCTAACCGCTGCACCACCGCGCCCAACAATAGTCTTAATAATACAAATTAAAAAGTGCCTAAGACAACAACAACAACAAAGAAAGACAACATTATTAGATATAAGTGTTTAGTTAGTGATTTCCAGAGGATTGTCTTTTGAAAGCAATGCTCAGCTGAAATTATTCATTTGTTTTTCACTTATTTATTTGTTTTCTATAATGTAAACACATTATACACAACTTTTGGTGCTTAGCTGACCCGTTGTGTGCACTAACCAGACTCACATGTTTGTTTAACAATTAATTGAAATCCATCATTTGGGAGAGTAACCAATTAAACACTGTCTCTATTTTTCCTGCAAATAAAGACAGTGTTGGTATGGTGTGGTATCTGGCTCCAAGACGTTAGCTGCAGATCCTGTATGCTGCGAGGTGGGGGCTTCATGGATTGTTTGTCCAGCACAGCCTACAGATGCTTGATTGGATTGAGATATGGAGAATTTGGAGGCCAAATCAAAACGATGAACTCATTGTTGTTTTCCTCAAACTGTTCCTCAACCATTTTTGCTTTGTGGCAGGGCGCATTATCCTGCTGAAAGAGGCCACTGCCATCAGGGAATACCGTTTCCATGAAAGGGTGCAAATAGCCTGAAACACTGTGTTTTGTCCATTTTCAATTTAGACCGCTGTGCCAGGTTACAGGGCTCTACGTCTGACTCGCGTGTGTAAGTGACCACAAATATAAGCCCAAGCCGCTCATTTCCTGTGATTATTTATTTAAAAAACAAACAAACAACAAAAATGGCTTTCAAACTTAACATGAGGTCAAAGACTGTGTCGGTCCTCTCTCATTAGTGTCCGCCCCTAGGTTAGGACCCAAAGGACCTCTCCAGACACACCTCTTCCTCCTTCCACAGCTGACTGAAATCTGAGTTAATTAATCAGAACAGCTAAATACATAAACAATTAATAAATCCAAATGACTATTCTCAAAATAAGTCATTTAAATGCTAAAATAATTGAACACAAGAAATTGGCTTCAACACAGTGTTTAGGTAGGTGTGAAGTGTCAAAGTAACGTCTACATGAATGGCAGGACCCAAGGGTTCTGACACCTTTTTATGAGAACCAGCATCAATTTTTTCAGTAATTTGACCTTCAGTAGCTCGTCTGTTGGATCGGACCAGGTGGGCCAACCTTTGCTCCCCCACATGCATTCATGAGTCTTGACCTACCATGACCCTGTCGCCGGTTCATAGCTTTTCCTTTCTTGGAATACTTTTGATACTACTGACCACTGCAGACCAGGAACACCCCACAAGAGCTGCAGTTTTGGAGATGCTCTGGCCCAGTCGTCTACCCATCCCAATTTAACCCTTTGCTCAAATCCTTACGCTTACCCATTTTTCCTTCCAACACATCAACTTTGAGGACAAAATGTTCACTTCTGCCTACTATATCCCACCCACTGACAGGTGTAACGTCATAATCAGTGTTATTCACTTCACCTGTCGGTGGTCAAAATGTAATGGCTTGTTTGTATGATGCTTTGGCAATATTGTTGTTACACATTCATGCCAATAAAGCTAATTTGAATAGAATTGAGGTATAAATCAAAAAAGACAGACATACAATATCCCTGTCATATAGCAAACACAACAACAAAAACAACAACAACAACAGCAACAACAACAACAACAACAACACAGTCTGATGTCCTTCCTCATCTGTGTTGGCAGCTTTAGACTCCACCAGACTTAACTGGAGCTGGGAGGCCGGTGAAAGGCTCACTCTGCTGCCTGCCTGGTACACCCCTAACAGGATTAAGGGGGGGTGTGGTGAGGTGGTGCTCCCGCTTCATGTAACTCACTCTGATGTGATTTCCATTTGTCTGGCCTGGCCCTTACCTTCCCCTCTGTCTAATCCTTCACTGTTCTCACCGCCATCCGTCAACCACGCTAATCTGCAGGCAGGCTTTAGGAGGAGAGGCTACACACACAGACAGACACTGTGCAAAACACCAAGGGAAAGGGCTGGTTTTCACTGTAAGGGAGCACACAGAGTGTTTGTGGATATCAAGCTGGTGGTAAGAATACTGTTTGTTTGTTTTCACGACTTGACTTACTTTATACAAGGTGTTGATTGAATCCTGTTGGCTTAGCTGTCATTAGCCCCTCTGCATGTGTGCTTGGCTCTGCTCTGCAACAGTTCAATGTTGTGTTTCATGTTTCACTGCCTCTGTGTTTGTGATGAACAGGTGCTTGTCATGAACAGAGTTTGATATCATGCATATTATTTTAAATGAGTAAAATTAGCATTCATCTGGAGCTGTGTTTGTGTCCACCTGATGAATGTAAGTCCAATATTCACATGAAAGTTGCAAACTTTGTCTGTCTGTGCAGGTGGTGTTAAAGTACCAAAGATTTTCACTAAAGAGCTTCTGGAAATGTGGCTGAAAAGAGCAGTGAGAGTGAAACAAAGTAGTAAAGTAACAGGCCGCAATATCCAGAATCATTAATTAGTTAGGATGTGGGTTAACATTTTCTGCCTGCAGTACGCTTCTAGTAGCTTTCACTGAAATGTTGATGAGAGGAGTCAGACTGAACCAAAGTGTTGCAGGTCACAATTATGAGCTAAAAGAGGTGTAAATGCTCCCGAGAGGTGAGGGGAACTGCAGAGACGGTGATGATTCTCAGTGGGTTCATCACTCTGTGTGACACCTTTCACATGACACATTCATTCAATCCATTGTTAATAAGAGATATTGATTAGTGCAGCCTTAGAAGACTCAGTTGCATGACCTAGTTGGCACCAGATGCTCTGGTTAGTTTTAATTAAGCAAATACTTCCTGATTGAAATAGATATAGATTGATAGATTGTGGTCTTACAGAGACCTGTACCAAAACCTGAGCTCACTCAGATTGTATCTGGAAACCAGCCCGATGGCGACTAGCTAGAACTAGAGAACTAGACACTAGCACTAGTTCTGGACAGATGGATAAACTGTTGTTTGTCAAGAAATAGTTACAAAACATAACTCCCCATAAAACCACACATTGTGATTTCTACATTTCTGTTGTGTCCTTTCACTTGGACATAGATCGAGGCTTCCTGCTTTCCTCTGCCTCCAGTCATTGTGTTAAGCTAGCTAGGCTAACCACGTCTAGACTCCAGCTACACACTTAATACACAGACAGGAGATTTATATCAATCTCCTTATCAGAAAGAAAGTTAATAAGCGTATTTCCCCTAATCTTTAAATATTCATTTGAATCCTAATTTATTTTTGTCATACAGCCTACTGTTTAAGGAAAAGAAAGTTAGTAGTAAGTTGTCAGGTACTGAAAATCATATATTGTATCATACTGGCAGCTGCATTAGTGATTGTGAAAATACCAAAGTACTAAATGTAAATGGTCATCACTATCCCTTTGTGTACATAGTCTCATTCACCCCAAAATACCTGGCTCTGATAATAGTTACCACCTGGTGTTCTACCTCTGCTGCCTGTCAGATCTCTCCAAGAGACGAGCCAAATGCTTCCAAACCTCACTATGCTTCCTGCTTCCACAGAGACATGAGTGACCGCATCTCATCTGAGCTGCCCACTCTGCAGTTTGCTGAGGCTTGGATCTAACAGATGTGATGCTCCTGACATGAGTGAATGGCCCCTTATATAGCAGACATGACAGCAGAGAAACCCCCTGGCCCATGGGTATCCAGCCCTGTGGGGGAGGTCAAGTTAATGCCTGAACACGGGCTGGAGGAGGAACTCAACAGCTGCAACCAAGAAGTAACGCACTATCACACAGACACGCCCACTGAGGAATGTGCAGCAATCATTGACAGGTAACATCCAATTTTTATCAGGGTAGAAACAACACTCACATATGAATATTTACTGCATGTTGTCTATTGTGTGCCAGTCTGCACAGCGAGGAGCCGTTCTGTAGGATCTGCCATGAAGGCAGGTCCTCGGGGGAGCTACTGTCCCCCTGCGAGTGCTCTGGTAGCCTGGCCATGGTGCACCGGTCTTGCCTGGAGCACTGGCTCACCGCCTCCAACAGCAGCCACTGTGAACTCTGCCACCACCAGTTTGCACTCGAGCGCCTGCCGAAACCTCTCACTGAGGTAGGCCATTGCAATACACAGCATGGTGATTTAGTGACACCGTAGCTCATCAACACACTGCTTCCCAGCATTTCATTCTTAAAGGGTTTTATTGGGCCAGGCTTTGAGATATCAGTCTGAGAGGTTTTGAGATTTCTTTCTCCACCCCTATAAGATGGGCAAATCACTAAAATCTTAAAACCTGGACAAATAAAACCCAAACTATTTGAATAGCTTGATACCACCAGAGCCAAGTGAGAAAATATATTTGTTATTTGGATGAACCAAGTTTACTTTATGGGTTGCTTCCACACTACTCAAGTATATACTGCCCTCTCATCCTATTCTTAGCTGAAGATGTATTAAGATCCCACTGGACATGCATTGAGATAAAAACACTGACGTGTAGACTTTGAGTCTTGGTTAGGGCTAAATTGTATTTTTTTATATACCACCTATTAAAATGAGGAGGACCTGCAAAATGATTGTCTGCAGGGCACTGAATTTTTAAAGGAAAACATACCTAATAACTACATGATAAATATCTATTTGAGATGGTCCACTTAAATGTGTGTCAAAGCCCTGACTGATTGAAGGAAATAGTGTCCCCAGCTGTATAGCAGTACAGTTTTAGAGCCATTATTGATTGAACAAAACTGAGTGAGACTTGATGGGAAATAAAAATGAAGCCTCGGTAGATTTGCCCTTGCTTATGATTTCTCTGTTCAAAGTAAAGTCAGGTAATACAGAATGAGGAAAATCCAAGGCCAGGGTGCTGGGGTGTCAGCTGTGCTTAAAGGCTTTTTAAACTTTACTATACAGGATACCGGAGCCTTACATTTCCCCTTTTCTAGCACACATAACCTTTGTCTCCACTTTGTTTCACATTTTTAGAGACAACATTATTTGCTTTCTTTCCACAAGGTAGATGAGTATTGTTAAGAACGAGATTTATCGCCCTACGGCTGGATGCCTCTACTATCCAGTCAGGTTGCAGCTTATGTCCATGTCTGTCCAGACTCGTAAAATGTAGGTAGTGAATAGAAGATAATGAATAAAAAGGTTTAAAGTTTATTTTTTAGGTTAAATGGAAGACTCCAGATTCCAGTGAACATACCACATTGTTAAACTGGTTAATGAAGGATTATCATAGATGTTTTGGCTGAACAGGTACACATGTACTGGATCACTATGTAAAGACGGATTCTTATAGAGTATCGCTAAACAAATTGTGGTGCTTTTGTTTCCTCCTGGCATTTTAAGATACAAAACCTCTCTATGAGCTGTATGTGACACTCACTCACTCATTTATAATTAGCTGCGCGCATGCACCAACATGTTGTTTGCAGTCACATGATTCGGATGACGCTCGAAATTCAGAATGAGGCAGGAAGTTAAGGGCAGACTGGACGAGATATTGTTTACTCATTTGTTCGTCCCCGTCAGCATGTGTATGAAATGTTGACTGTTAATGTTAAAATACCCTCTGCTCTTTGTGGTGGACAAACTCCATTCCAAAGGCAGGTGTTTTATTGTACAGACATATTTTGTCCCATTAAAAACTTCAGCCACACCATCACTAAGACTCTTTTCTGATTCGCTTTGATCTACAGGCACAGTTGGCACATGATATTTACTCAGTTACATCATTAACTAACCTGTGATTAAGTGTTAGTCACGTTAGTAAACCACTGACTGGCCGGGTCCCACTGAAGTCACAGATTTCTTGATACCCAGTAGGCCTGCTCTTTTTTTCTCAATGACACAGCAGATGTCAGTGGGAGGAGTCTCTTGGCAAGTCACTGCTTTCACGTTGGAGGACCTGCTGCTGTTAGCTGGACCGCATGTACCCCTAAAGCCACTTAGCCTGAGAGCCAGATTAGATGGTGTTTCCTTCCCTTGCTGCTCTGTAGAGGAGAGTACTGGAGTGTTATTAGTGGCCTCCTCGTATTCCTGCTCTTCCTGTTGCATGTGTGGTCGCAGCCAGTAATCTGCTGATTAAGCACCATGTGCTCCGCCAGGTTAAGCTACACAGTGAAAAGCATAAGCCCGTTGTCAGGAAATGCTGGGCACATGCACAAGCATGCACAGAAACACTGGTACAGTACATTTGGTGATGTAGTACAGCTCAATGTGTCTGGAGACAGGTTCTATATTGTAACAGCAGACATACATGGTGATGTCACTTACAGTTGCGCTTATATGTTTACATACCATGGCAGAAAATTTGAAATTTTGGCATTGATTTTGAAAATATCACTCATCAAGGAAATGAACTGTCTTTGATTTAAGGATAGTGATCACATGAAGACATTTGAATGTTTGGCCTTGTTACAGAAACACAAAGTGACACAGGTGAGTGAAAATGGCAATTAAAGGTTAATTTCCCACACCTGTGGCTTTTTAAATTGCAATTAGTATCTGTGTATAAATAGTCAATGAGTTTGTGAGCTCTCACGTGGATGCAGGCTAGATACTGAGACCCAAAAGACCTGCGTAACAAGGTATGGGAACTTTATAAAGATGGAAAAGCTTATAGAAATGTGCCAAAGCCTTGCATATGCCAGTAAGTACTGTTCAGTCATTTATTAAGAAGTGGAAAAATCGGGGGAAGAAGGATTTCAGCCAAAACTGCGAGAAGAATTATTTGAGATACAAAGAAAAACCCAAAGGTAACGTCAGGACAAACACTGGCTGCTCTGCAAAAAGATGGTGTGGTTGTTGCGAGCACAATATGACGATACTTGAAACGATATGAGCTGCATGATCAAGTTGCCAGAAAAAAGCCTTTACTGCGCCAGTGTCAATATGGACAATATGCCCAACAACACTTTGACCCGCCTCACAGCTTGTGGCACACAGTAATTTGGATTGATGAGACTAAAAAGAGCTTTATGGTCACAACCATAAGTGTTATGTTTGGAGAGGGGTCAACAAGGCCTATAGTGAACAGAACACCATCCCCACTGTGGAGCATGGTGGTGGCTCACTGATGTTTTGTGGGGGTGAAGGCAAAGGGAATCTTGTGAAAATTAATGGCAAGATGAATGCAGCATGTTATCAGACAATCTCAAAACGTGCAGTTCATGCAAGATGACCAAAGCTTTTGCCTGACCCGGAGGCATTTTGCCAAGATGAATGGGCAGCTATAGCACCTGCAAGAATTCGGGGCCTCATAGACAACTATTACAAAAGACTGCACACTGTCATTTGATGCTAAAGGTGTATATACACAGTAATGAGAACTAAGGTATGCAGACTTTTCTTTGTTTTGTTTTGATTGTGCCATTCTGTTATGACCTACAGTTCAATGTGAATCCCATAAGATATAAAAGATGTGTTTTGCCTGGACACTCATGTTTTCACATACACATGCACATATATATAATCAGTGAAAGTATTCGGCCCCCTTGAACTTTTCGACCTTTTGCCACATTGCAGGTTTCAAATATAAAGATATAAAACTGTAATTTTTTGTGAAGAATCAACAACAAGTGGGACACAATTATGAAGTGGAAAGAAATTTATTGGATATTTCAAACCTTTTTAACAAATGAAAAACTGAAAAATTGGGCGTGCAAAATTATTCAGCCCCTTTACTTTCAGTGCAGCAAACTCTCTCCAGAAGTTCAGTGAGGATCTCTGAATGATCCAATGTTGACCTAAATGACTAATGATGATAAATAGAATCCACCTGTGTGAAATCAAGTCTCCGTATAAATGCACCTGCTCTGTGATAGTCTCAGAGGTCCGTTTAAAGCGCAGAGAGCATCATGAAGAACAAGGAACACACCAGGCAGGTCCGAGATACTGTTGTGGAGAAGTTTAAAGCCAGATTTGTATACAAAAAGATTTCCCAAGCTTTAAACATCCCAAGGAGCACTGTGCAAGCGATAATATTGAAATGGAAGGAGTATCAGACCACTGCAAATCTACGAAGACCCGGCCGTCCCTCTAAACTTTCAGCTCATACAAGGAGAAGACTGATCAGAGATGCAGCCAAGAGGCCCATGATCACTCTGGATGAACTGCAGAGATCTACAGCTGAGGTGGGAGACTCTGTCCATAGGACAACAATCAGTCGTATACTGCATAAATCTGGCCTTTAGAAGAGTGGCAAGAAGAAAGCCATTTCTTAAAGATATCCATAAAAAGTCTCGTTTAAAGTTTGCCACAAGCCACCTGGGAGACACACCAAACATGTGGAAGAAGGTGCTCTGGTCAGATGAAACCAAAATCGAACTTTTTGGCAACAATGCAAAAGGTTATGTTTGGCGTAAAGGCAACACAGCTCATCACCCTGAACACACCATCCCCACTGTCAAATATGGTGGTGGCAGCATCATGGTTTGGGCCTGCTTTTCTTCAACAGGGACAGGGAAGAGGGTTAAAATTGATGGGAAGATGGATGGAGCCAAATACAGGACCATTCTGGAAGAAAACCTGATGGAGTCTGCAAAAGACCTGAGACTGGGACGGAGATTTGTCTTCCAACAAGACAATGATCCAAAACATAAAGCAAAATCTACACTGGAATGGTTCACAAATAAACATATCCAGGTGTTAGAATGGCCAAGTCAAAGTCCAGACCTGAATCCAATCGAGAATCTGTGGAAAGAACTGAAAACTGCTGTTCACAAACGCTCTCCATCCAACCTCACTGAGCTCGAGCTGTTTTGCAAGGAGGAATGGGCAAAAATTTCAGTCTCTCGATGTGCAAAACTGATAGAGACGTACCCCAAGCGACTTACAGCTGTAATCGCAGCAAAAGGTGGCGCTACAAAGTATTAACTTAAGGGGGCTGAATAATTTTGCACGCCCAATTTTTTAGTTTTTTATGTTAAAAAAGTTTGAAATATCCAATAAATTTCGTTCCACTTCATGATTGTGTCCCACTTGTTGTTGATTCTTCACAAAAAATTACAGTTTTATATCATTATGTTTGAAGCCTGCAATGTGGCAAAAGGTCGAAAAGTTCTCAAGGCACTGTATATATAGGGATGTCTTCTTAGGTCTGTGTGTGTCCAGACTGTGTCAGGTTAGCATTGTTGCACCTGTTGGGTGGGACCTTAATCATCCTTATTTATTCATGGGTCCAGTGACCTCAGTTCTGCCCAGCTTCAACGTGACGTCTAATCAGCATGTATGATTTTTAAAAAAACCTATGGGGATGTGCAGGGCCATAAACTAATATTGTTAGCCAGCAACCTGTCTGAAATTATTGTTTGACCCCTAATGGAATTGTATCATAAGATTATACCTTCTCATTTTACGAAAATATTTTGTCTTAATTAGTCATTCAAATTCAACTGTTATTTATTTTTGTTATTTTTATGTTGTGTTTTTCTCTTACACATTTTCTATTAACACAATAAGTTAAAAAAAGAAAAAAAAATATATATAATACACTCACACACACACATACATACATACATACATACATACATACATACATACATGTGCTGGTCATATAATTAGGATATCATCAAAAAGTTGATTTATTTCAGTAATTCCATTCAAAAAGTGAAACTTTTATAATGTATACATTCATTCCACACAGACTGATATATTTCAAGTGTTCATTATTTTTAATTTTGATGATCATAACTGACAACTAATGAAAAGAAAATTAGAATATTGTGAAAAGGTTCAATATTGAAGACACCTGGTGCCACACTCTAATCAGCTAATTAACTCAAAACACCTGCAAAGGCCTTTAAATGGTGTCTCAGTCTAGTTCTGTAGGCTACACAATCATGGGGAAGACTGCTGACTTGACAGCTGTCCAAAAGACGACCATTGACACCTTGTACAAGGAGGGCAAGACACAAAAGGTCATTGCTAAAGAGGTTGGCTGTTCACAGAGCTCTGTGTCCAAGCACATTAATAGAGAGGCGAAGGGAAGGAAAAGATGTGGTAGAAAAAAGTGTACAAGCAATAGGGATAACCGCACCCTGGAGAGGATTGTGAAACAAAACCCATTCAAAAATGTGGAGGAGATTCACAAAGAGTGGACTGCAGCTGGAGTCAGTGCTTGAAGAACCACCACGCACAGACGTATGCAAGACATGGGTTTCAGC